TTTGCAAAGGGCCAGAACATAAACTACTTAGGGAAACTCAGTATCCATGTAAAAAGGCTGGAAGGGTCAAATCAGACAAATTAAAGAGGGGTGGAGATGCAAGCCCAGGCTGGCTGTCCCCTACTGAGGGCCACCTAGGTAGGCACAGGAGATCTGTGTTCATATTTCTACTGTGGAATTTGACTTGAAATTTCTTCTGTGCCGGAGTCTGAAAGTGTAATGTTGTGGGTTTTTTTTCTGGCTAAACTCTATGTGTGTGTGTGGCCACAAGTGGGTGGAGTGGTTAGTGATCTGGTGGTTTATCTCGCGAGTGTCCAAATAGAACATCTCTGGTGCATAACATCTCAGGTGCTCACCAAGTTGACAGCAGAAATTAGCTGTGCTTCCTACTTTCCTCAGGAGTTTCGAGCTTCATCCTTTTCTCCTTGCGAAGAAACACGGTTGCCCAGACTAATTTAGCTGACTTCGCTCATGCTCTTCCAGATTTGTGCAGAGGCTACTCTGAGCTTGTCCTGGAGAAAGTGTCTACTAACTGAGAAAAGCTGGTCTTCTGCTCCTTTGAAAGATAAAATTTTCTTCAAACTGGACCTGCTCAAGTCGAGTGTTACTGATTTGTAAGACAGTGCACCCCGAGCCGTAACAGCGTGGTGCGTGGAGACCTGCTCTGAGTCGTCCTGGTCGCACAGCTGCTGGCGCAGTTAGAGCTGTTGCGTAGTGGTTTGTGGAGCTGCTGTTGCGTTCCTGGTGCTGTGAGCGTGGGCTGTTGGTACGGCCTTGACGTAGCTCTGGTTTGCTCTCCCTACCCTGGAGATAACTGAGTTTTTCCCCTTTGTGCATGTCCGTTTCTGAAAAGAGCAGTGGAAGCAGTGGACTTCATTAGATGGAGAGGGAAGAGCTGCCAGGCAGGTTTTATCACAGAAGTAAAATATAGTCATTCATTTCTCTGTGTGTATGTAGCATTTGGTCATTTTTCATCCTCTGACCTTGGGTCCTTTACAGAAGAAACATTACACTAAAACTGGATGAAAGGAAAGTAAGACTCGGAGGAGGAAAGTGCATTGTTTAGAGCCCCGAGCAGGTTGAAGCATGAGCTGCAAATGTGATTCTTATGTCCCAAAACTGGCCTGTGTGCTATGCCCCATTGCATTGCAAGGTTGAAGTTTCTTGTAATGGCAAAATACAGTCTTGAAAAAACTGGCTGCAAAGATTTTATTTGTTTAAACAAAGGCTCTGTGATTCCAGAATTCTCTCCCCTGTCATATGCTATAAACCACCTCCTCCGCCTTCCCTCTGAAATATGAATTTTGGAGCAATCCATCAAGAAAAAGAGAGACAGAGCCTTGATCCCTTGACTTCAATTGAGTTGTGCAATTTATATCTACTGAGCATCTGGCTGTAGGAAAACCAAAAGCCCTTTTAATATTCTGCAGAGACTCTGGGTATACAAATGAGCGTGGGCTGTCAGAGCTGAGAAATGGGGCAGAGATGCCAAGAGATTTCTTTGCCGTTTTGCACAAATCTCTGACCTGTGGCTCAGTGGTGAAAGTTGACGTGGTTTTTTTTTTACTCCCTTCAGTGCCACTGTGATGATTGTGCTGAAATCATTAGAGCCCCATTGGTATAAAGCGGTTATCACGCCGTTCTTGGTTTGGGTGAGGAGTTTGAAGACTTTTGGGGCTTTCAGCCTTGAGCAGCTGAATTGTACAACTATTTAATCATGAAATTACGCAAACGCTGCTTCAGCCCCTCAAAGCAGAAATGCCAAGCCAGCAAGGTGCCCACGGTCAGTCGCTCACCGCTTGTCGTACGAGCGTATCCGCGGTGGAAGGCACCGGCTTACAGCCCGGTGCCCACTTGCAAAGTAGAGGCAGGGGCTCAACCTTTCATCAAAGACTGGGGAAACGTGGCAACCGTTGGATCAGGGTTAAGTGGGTCAGTGCTGGCACAGGGTACCTGACTTGCTATTTGCCAGCATGCTGAGTCTGCCACATCTCTGCAGACTTTTCTTCCCCTCCAGTTGCGTTGCTTTCCCGACGCAGCCGGAGAGGGGGCATGGGCGGGCGGGAAGGGAGAGGTGTGCTAAGACAGTAACAACAAGACATTATGGAGACAGACTGGGTGTCATGCGATATGCTGGTACAGTCTCATGTTCATTATCTCAATTATTTATCCTCCCTGCTGGAACGCTTCTAAAACAAATCCTACCATGTGTTTTGAGGTTGGGCTTCATAGAGTGAAATCACAACTCCTTTCTCAGAGTTTAGCTGGAAAAATACAAATCTGCCAACTAGGAATATGAGGGAAATAAACCGTGGTTCTGTGAAGCAACAAGTGATGGATTTCTGTAGATATGGAGAGCGTCTGCTCTGGAGTTCCAGGTCAGAGAGTATGTGTATTTGCCCCAACGTTGTATTTGTTGCATGTGAAATAATGATGTGAGATTCTCAAGCTTGTTTTAATGAAACAGACTGCTTTTACCCTGATCAGAAAATTCAACTTCACAGTCCAGGCCCTTGGAACCACCGACCATCAGGATCAGACACTAAATACTTCAGTGCATAGTAGTCAGAAAAGATATTTATTAACGTGATTTGTCACCCCCATTCTCAGGCTTTCTGCAAGGACAGATAACGACCCCAGACCTTGAAGCACTTGGTTCCTGCTGTGTTGTGAGCGAGCTTTGAACGTAGATTCCGTAACTGCAGTGCTGAGCATTCGTCTCTCTTTGAAAGCATCATCCATCTGTTGGTTAGCTAGATAAATGTCGCAAGGATTCGTTGGCAGGATGGCTCACCTTAATAAGAAGCTCTTTTGCATTAGGACGTCCATTTTCCGGATGAGTTAAATGTCTTTTGGGTCCAGGCTAAGTACCTTGGGTGTGGATCTGGGTTTACAGGCATTTTGTGAAGGAAAGGATCGGAGTTCAAATCCAGCTTGAGCTTAGGTAGTTCCCTTTCTGACCTGGGCTGCGTTTTCTGTGTGTTTCAGCAGGCATCACTGGCAGGGGGGTGATACTACTACAAATCTCACTGTGGAACGGCACTGCTGCTTCCTCACCCCTTCTGTCATTTTGTTCATTTAAATCTAACCTCGTGTGCTGCAAACGCCCCTGAGAGGGCTCAGTGAGACACTCTTCAAGAGCAGAGAGGGCTGCTGGAACAGTGCTGTTTGTACACTCTGTCTGCATTGACAGGCAGAGTATCCTCCCCTGGGAGCTGGTTGATTCACCCCTATGCAGAGGGGTAGTACAAGCCCTGTTTTATGAGCTGAGCTCTCCAAAGAGAGCTTGAATGATCAGTCCATATCAAATTATGCACAGAGATGGTTTTCAGACAGTTCAAGTCAGTCTCTCTAAACCTATGGGAGTTATTAATATTTGCAAGCCAGCAGAAGAGAGAATAGGACTCCATATTTTATCTGCTCTGTAGCACATCTGGTACAGCTTTTGACTCTTGGGAGCACTGGATTTATTCAGTCTTATCTTTCTATAGGGATGAGCAAGATCAAAAGCATGAAGATGGTTACATGCAGAATTAATTCCCTGTTTTACACACCACAAGCAGATCCAGACCAAACAAGCCTCACCCATTTCCTTCCCTGTGGGACAATGCACTTATGGCACTTCCGTATTCATGGGCCAATTCACACCAAAATGTATTGCCCAAGATCTGTTGCAAAGAATAAGAATAAACAAATGTTATTTCCTGTTGGGTAGAAGAAAGTCCATGTCAGTATTGACCTGTGAGGAAATCCCGTGATCTAAGTGTTCCTGAACCATCAGATACTTTGTCTGCAAAATGTTGGGCGTCGTGAGGTGGAAGGTCTACATCTAGCTCCTTTGGGAAGCTACGCAGCTCCTCGTACAGGGTCAGTGAGAGATTTCTTTGGAACGTTTATGCGATGGGTGATTGGTTGCCGTTCGCACTCAAGCAATCTTCTTAGACTGTAAATCACTAGCGTGGAATAGCCAAGCTTCCTGGCCCTCCAAGCTGTGTGCTACAATCTTTGCAGGGCTGAGGGCCATCAGTGCACACCATGTGCTTCATAAAACTGGAAAGTGCTTTGGGTGAAGATTGAAGAGATTCCTTGGGGCTCCTTGTGCAAATGAGGACAAAGCTTGTTAGGGAGGACAACTGAGCGCCAGGTGTTGGGGTGATGTTCAGTCAGGCCAAAACCCGTGTTCACCCATTTGTCCCCATAGGTAGGCACTGGGTTTACTCAACATCCCCTTCATCAGTACAGCCTCCGCCTAAACTGCACCTCAGTGGTCTACAAGTCAACCTCTCCAGCCCTATGGAAACACCAGGATTAAATGCTTCTTCCGTGGCCAGTCAATGAAAACTGGCTCTGGCCCTTAAGGAGCCCAGAACTGCACACAGAGATGTATTTCTCTTCTGTGGGACATGAGATGGCAGTGATTCATCACCTGAATATGGATCATTTATTCTCTGAAATACTTTGTGCTCCAAGTCATTTTCCCTTTCGAAAAACTGCTGCGCTTCAGAAGTCATCATAGGTGAGTGGTCCAGTCTGGAAAGCTTCTCTGAGAGCTGAGGATGGGCAGTTCAACACTGGGAAAGTGCCTTGTTGATTGTTGATTAAATCTCTGTTCAGGGCTTTATCCTCCTTCACTCATAAAATTGCTGAAATGAAAACAGAGGCACAGCAGCAGGCTTTCTGTTTGGGTAGGTGATGTCCCTGGTATCAAGCAATCATTTTAAACTGCACTCAGAGCCCGTTATGCTAACGTTTGTTCTTGCTAAGGCATCCTGCCAAGACCCCTTCGGTGGTTGCTGCCTATCTGTTGCTTCCGTGCAGCAAAGTGAGATGGAAACCGCTTCATGCTGCAGCTCCATTCTGCATCAGCCCTGGGGTCTTGAATCACTTTTCTGTGTGCCTAGAATCAAAAAAGATCAGGGTCTACAGACTGAAAGCCATGGATTAAAATGCAAAGTACACAGAAATTTTATATTGTTTTGTTTTGTTCTTTCTAGAATGCATGAACTGCACGAGACTAGCGGACATGACCGAAAGGCTAAACACGCTTGAGGCCAAGGTAAGGACCTGTCTTTATTCTTCTGTTTGCCAAAAGCGTTCAACAGTTGCTGCTGAAAAAGACATGGAGTTGGCAGCCCTGGAGAGATGAGGTGTCTGTCCTTCTGCCCGCAGCGAGGCACACGCTGAGGTGGCGGTGCTGCCCCGGCGAAGGCGGGCAGTGCTGGCCTGCACACGGGCATCGCTCGCTTCTGGCCTGACGCCCGCTTCCCGCTCATCCTCGTCGGCTTCCCTCGGCCACACAGCTGCCTCTGTCTCCCTGCTTCCCTGCTGTCACCAGTGTGCAGCTGCTAATAAATTACAAATAGCTGATTGCTCTCGATTGGAACACATTGGCTCATGTTTTGCTCCAGAAACAGAGGACAAACGGAGCTCTGTGAAGAATCTCTTGCCTTCAGCTGGTTGATAATGTGGGATGTGAAGCAGTGATTCCCCCGGCTCAGGAAAGAAGCAGACTCGGATTCTGGTCTCTCTTACTACAAATACATTGTAGAAACCTTACCAATGTAGAGTGCAAAACAGAGGAGTAACGATGTGTAGACAGAAGAGATGTTCATTAGCCTGCTGTTCAAGTGCTCTCCAGTCCTGCTTTTTTATCCCCTTTCTGAAGGATGAGAAGCTTTCATGCATGGTTTAGTGGAGACAAATGTTGAGGGGAGACCTTCACATTGCGGTTCTTTTTTCTACAAGGCGTTTTAATTTCTGTCTACAGGGATTTAGATAAATTGTTCAGTCTAGCAACAAAGCAGCTGAATCAGTTGGTCCCCTTTGAGCTCTGGTCCCTCCTGTGATGGCCCAGTCCTGGTTGTCAGATGTAAGGAGGTGATTGGGGGCAGCCAACATGGCTTCACTGAGAGCAAATCCTGCCTGACTAATTTAGTGGCCTTCTATGATGAGGTTACAGCATTGACAGATAGGGGAAGAGCAACTGACATCATCTGTGTGGGACATCATCAAATCCAACACATTTGACACTGTCCCACACGACATCCTTGTCTCTAAACCGGAAAGACATGGTTTTGATGGATGGACCACTCGGTGGATAAGGAATTGGCTGGATGGTTGCACTCAAAGAGTTGTGGTCAACGGTTCAGTGTCCACGTGGAGGCCAGTGACGAGTGGTGTTCCTCAGGGGTCAGTACTGGGGCCAGTGCTGTTTAACATCTTTGTTGGTGACATGGACAGTGGGATCGAGTGCACCCTCAGCAAGTTTGCAGATGACACCAAGTTGTGTGATATTGTGGACACGCTGGAGGGAAGGGATGCCATCCAGAGGGACCTTGACAGGCTGGAGAGGTGGGCCTGTGAGAACCTCATAAAGTTCAACAAGGCCAAGTGCAAGGTCCTGCACGTGGGTCGGGGCAATCCCAAGCACAAGTACGGGCTGGGCGGAGAATGGATTGAGAGCAGCCCTGAGGAGAAGGACTTGGGAGTGCTGGTGGGTGAGAAGCTCAACATGAGCCAGCAATGTGCACTGGCAGCCCAGAAAGGCAACTGTGTCCAGGGCTGTATGAAAAGCAGCGTGGGCAGCAGGTCGAGGGAAGTGATTCTGCCCCTCTACTCTGCTCTCGTGAGACCCCACCTAGAATACTGTGTTCAGCTCTGGAGTCCCCAACACAAGAAGGACATGGAGCTACTGGAGTGAGTCCAGAGGAGGCCACGAAGATGATGCGAGGGCTGGAGCACCTCTGCTATGAAGACAGGCTGAGAGAGTTGGGGCTGTTCAGCCTGGAGAAGAGAAGGCTCCGGGGTGATCTCATAGCAGCTTTCCAGTACCTAAAGGGGGCCTACAGGAAAGCTGGAGAGGGGCTTTTTACAAAGGCGTGTAGTGATAGGACAAGGGGCAATGGATTTAAACTGAAGGAGGGGAGATTTAGATTAGATCTAAGGAAGAAATTTTTTACATTGAGAGTGGTGAGGCAGTGGAACAGGCTGCCCAGAGAAGCTGTGGCTGCCCCATCCCTGGCAGTGTTCAAGGCCAGGTTGGATGAGACTTTGGGCAACCTGGTGTAGTGGAGGGTTTCCCTGCCCATGGCAGAGGGGTTGGAACTAGATGATCTTTAAGGTCCCTTCCAACCCAGACGATTCTATGATTCTATGTAGTGCTTTGGTCCCTTTAAGGCATAGTGCTGCTGTTATTATTCATTAACTGATGGTTATCAATGACATAAAAGAATTTGGGGAGAAACCATTGTGGAAAGAGATGGTGGATGTATCATGGTTTTGAGGCCAGTGCGTGATATTATGTTAATTTGGGAATTGTCTGTGCTGAAATGGAGTGAGCAATGTTGTCTGGAACTTCCTCAAAGCCTTCGCAGTTGTATTTCACTACAGGAAAATGAAGGGGTGAGGGGAATGAAATTCTAGGGAGCAGAATTGTTCGAGTGAAAACAACTGTTGTAGTGCAAAGGGCAGAGATGAGCTGGATTGTTTTTCCAAGCAGTGGGATCTGGCAGGTGGGTGTTCTTTGGCAGAGAGGAGCTGGAGGCGTTTGAAGAGGAGAGAGGGGCTGGTGACTGACCTCTGCGTGTGCAGTCCTGAATCCAAATAAGACATGGGACCAGCCTCCGAGAGGCATAAATCAGACCTCCCGTGCTCAGCCTGGAGCCAGCTGTACCTTCCTTTGCTGTCTATACTTGGCTCACTGGCAAATGATAACCAAAGACTGTCCTGACATCAGAGCACCCGTGCTCTGCTGGCTTGTGCTGCTCAGCACTTGTGTCAGGTAGCAAAGCACAAGAGGCTAATGGCAACCTCAGCCAGGGCCCTGGCAGGACTTCATGGGGAAGGAAGGAGGTCCTACTTGCCCAAATCCCCTTGAGAAGTCTTAGGTCAAGAGTGAAGCTGCACCTAGGTCAGTGGGTTTGTCTTGCAAGTATGAAGCTGATTTAAATTGAATTACATTCCTATCACCTGAAAGCAATCTGCTCTCTGTTTTTGTCACCAGCTGCCAGATGCCCACGGTATTTGGGAAGTGATGCCTGCTTGCCTTCTGCATGGGAGCTCTAGTGAAGGCAGGAGCGCGTTGTCTTCTAATCTAACCTAGGGCACTTGTTGTGCAGCAACTGGCATTTGTCTCCTGACTGGCAAACCTGATGTGCAGTCCTTAGGAAGTACTTCAGGAGAGAGCACTGAGTCATCATCAACAGTGTTGATGGCTGAAGACTTTGTAGTCTTGCAGACCTTCCACATGAAGAACAATGAGGCAGATGCCTACAAAGTTCAGTGCCAAGACACAGCCAGCCAGTCCCTGGAGATGATGCTTGAAAGATTTTGATACTGCCTCAGTCCCAGCCATAGCCAAGACAACACCACCTCCTCTCGGCCTTCTCCAGAGTGGGGCTCTGCATAACTTGATTCTTATCAGCTCTTGATCTTGGGTGTAGCGCGTCATGTCTCTGTTTTAGTGCTGCAGTGAAGCAATTTGTGTTGTTGCTGTGATGGCTTTCCTTCTGACTTTGCTATGCTCCCACAGAGATCTAAGTTGGGAGCAAAGCTCATCAAAGCATTTACTTTTATGGAGGGAAATGAGTTATTTCTTTCTATTGTGAAGTACTAAAGACCATGTCTCTGCGAGAGTGCCTTCTGCAGCTCAGCCCAGCAATGTCATAATCAATCTTTTGGCTTCCTCTTTGTTTGAAAAGCTGTGGGCGCTGTTCAAAAATTGACTGTAGCAATTAAATGGAGAGTGAAGCAACATGACATGAATGCTGGTGCTGTTCTCAAGAGAAATATGCTGATTTGCTCTTGTTTCAAGGTTAATTTAAGTTCAGTTTGATCTATGTAGCAATGTAATGGCCTTAGTTGTTGTTATTCAGTAATAGCTAGCACCATTGAAAAAAAGTGCTTGAATTTGTTTAGTATTGTCTATATTCCTGCTCTGGATTTTGGAGAATGGTCCCTATTTTGCTTGATGATCTGAATGTGAAGTTGTCTCTCAGCTCTCTAAACAGTGGTCTTCTCATTTCACCACAACAACAGCCTGAGGCTGTTTGGAGAAAGACAGGAGTGATAGGGTGGGCACACACATCCTTTACCACTGTTGGAGACTGATACCCTCCTGATTTTTGCTGTCTTGTTCTACAAAGGCAGGTGTGGAAGTTCATCCTTCCTATGAGCAGAGCCAGATTTTCCTGTCACAGTCCTGCTCCCTCTGGAGACAGCTGAAGTTGCAGAGCTTTGCTACTTTTGCTCTTTGGAATTTCAGCCCAGCATGACCATGGTGAGCTCAGGGAATGGCAGTGGGTAAGATCTGCCATCTCAGTGTAGCCAGACAGCTTCAAGAAGATCAGGCCATTGGCACCTGCTGTAAGGGCTTTGAGGTGTGAGGAGCCGGTGTAGACTTGTGCTGCAAGGACGCTGCAAGGTCCAAGGGTAAGAGCAAATATGTGGAAAGCTCTGAAGGCACTGTGGACCCGGGCAGATCAGTGCTGGGTGAAAAGTTTTGCTTTAACAGAGTAGGTTAGGCACAAATGAAAAACAGTCTCTTCCTGACATCTCTGCAATGGGGACAAGGAGCCAAGAGCCTCTCTTCGTTGTGTGTGAGGATGTGTAAAACTCATTTTTGTGCTCAGTGACTGTGAAGGGCAAGTTGAGGAAACTTAAACTCAGTCATGGAAGAAGAGGCTACAAGACTGTGGTTTCTTCTTTCCCCACTCCTCTTCTGCAGGCTGTTATGGCTGTCCCCCTGAAAAACGGGGATATAACCAGAAATGGTCTCATCTTTCTTATTACAAGGGTGAGTTGGTTCATCCAACTTGTAAGATCAGCATCCAAATGAGGTAATAAAAGTGACTCTCTGATTTTCGTAATATGAGAGTTGGATCAGAAAGTGAGAAGCAAGAATAAACACAGAGTAAATGGAATGAAAAATGACTCATTAGGGACCGGTGCTTATATAGCCCTTGGGGAGGAGAGAGACTCTGAGACGTGGCTGAACTGTGCGGCCGAACAAAAACTTCACGTCTGATGCTTTCCTTAACGCTGTTCTAGATTGTCCTT